ATCTTAGAAGGCAAGATAAATCCCTAATGAAGGTAAGAATGAGCATCCTTTGTTTCCAGGTTGTTGAATGTCAGCATTTACCTATTTAAAATTCTCCTCTGGTGACAGTTCTGAGATGTTTTTGGTTGCCAAATGCGTTTTTTAAAAGCTGTGATGTTTTAAAGGTTTCAGAATCACCAAAGAAACTGTTAAATCCCAACTCTGCAGAGGCTGATGTTAAATATGAGCAGTGCTTACACAAGAAATACTCACACATTGAAAACTGTGAGTATCCACATCAGATTAGATCGGTGGACCTCAATTTTGGCATCTTCCTTGTGTTGTGAAACACTTTAAAGTATTTGGATGTTCACATAGCCAAATTGAAAGATGGATGTTTAATGGTGGTTGCCAAAATAGCTTGTATTCTTTGCTTTATGGATGTTGCCAGTTTTTCATGAGAATGGGAATTAATACAGAACAGCCTGAAGAAGAGATGTAGGAGAAATCATCTGAAACAGTGAATGACTTGGACTCACACAAGACAAGGTTCTCTGTAGGAACCACAGCTGCCTCGCATCTGTCTCCCAGAAAAAAAGGGGAAATTTCAATGTATTTAGCCTCTCAGAGACAAAATGTGGCTCAGCGGGCATTCCCTCTGTCAGGACACGGGGTGTGAGTATCCTGCACCTTACACACAGCTGTTTACTATCAGGTTGCCAGCAGCCCTCTGACCTGGTTAGCACTATGGAGGTAAGAGGAGCTGGCGAGACCAGAAATGCTTCTGCAGAGGAGGAGTTTGGGGAGAAGGGGCGTTCGGGAGGTGCATGGGAAGAAGAAGCAAAACAGTGGTTGGAAAGGAGGTGACCTTAGGACCCAAGAGCAAGGTGACAGCATCTTAGTCAGACATAGATTCAGGGGAAATATTTGGCACATTGACCACATTGATGCCTTCTTTCCCCCATTGAACTATGGCATCAAGAAGGAAAATGGGAAAGGGGTCTCTGGTTGCAGCCCAGGGGACACTCTCGTCATCTTCTGACCTTTGCAGTCAGAAGACTGCAAAGAAGACTTTGCTGCCCTGACTGCAAAGGTCAGAAGATGGAGAGAGTGTCCTTCAGGCTGCAGCTATGGGCGGGGTGAGATTTTATATAGAGATTTTGGAATTGCAGTAATGATCCGACAGCTGACTTGCCAGAAGGCTTTTAAGGTATTAGGAAACAAATCCTCCCCCAAAGGAGAATTCCTAAAGGATTTCCCCATGAAAGTTGCATGGTAGATGATGCAGCAACATTACTTTGAACAAATGATCACAATCAATGTCCTGTGAACTATTTTTTTTTCATAGATTCAACAAGTCTGGCTATATTGCCGAAGCACCGATTCGCTGCTGCCCGGGCCACCTGTGTGCTCTGGTACAGCTGCACTGGTTGCTAAGATTTGAAGCCTCCTCTGGTTTACGTTGCCAGAACTGGGCTCCTTTTATGGGACTCCAGGCTTGATCTCACGAGAGCTTTATGCAGTTTCAACTCCATTGTTCTCAGTGAAGTCTTAATTCCTTGTAAGGCCTGGCAGGACCATGTTTGTGAGCCTCCAGAGAGCTCCTGCTACCCAGTATCTCAGATGTCACTGTAAAGTCCTGCTGTGCAGTGGCTTGAAAACTGTGGTGTAGCAGAAATAAAGAGTAGAGTGTGGTATTGTGGTGATTTTCTAAGGCAAGTTGAAAGAGCAGTGGCTTCTTACACCTTCATATGTCCATCTTTGATGAATCATATTCTATACCTCTTCACATTAATTGTGACAAGGCTTTTATTTAAATGTTTATCACAAAAAGGGACATCTCTGCTTGTCCATCCTCTTGTGGTGGAGGATAGCGTGACAGCCTGCAGCTGCTCGGTAGCTGTCTGGCAGATCTCCGTGATGCTTCTATGCTGCTGGTGCTGCCCAAGATGTCTTGTTGCCCTCTGCCTCTTGTAACCCACTGGGCCAAAACAAGCCCAACCAGCTCAGAAAAACAGTGTTTTAATGGAAGCTGTTGGGCTAAGCAAAACAGTGACAATTTGCTTTGATTCCTCTTTCATTTAAGCATCTCAGGGCTTTGTCTCTGGCACCCTTCCATCCCTTCTGGCCACAGAAGGAGGAGGGAAGGCGACTCTCGAGCCCCCGCAGCAGGACGTTCCACTCCCACTGATGACCTCCACAGTCTGATTTTTCTCTCCTCCTAGATTGCAGAGAAATACGGCCCCGTATTCACCGTCCATTTGGGGTTTCAGAAGGTGGTGGTTCTGACTGGCTACGAGGCAGTCAAGGATGCCCTTCTGAACACGGCGGATGTGTTTGCGGACAGACCGGCTATACCCATATTCTATCACATCCAGCATGGAAACGGTACTGGCAGGATGACAGGATGTGCTTGCTCCGCTGCTTCTCAAATGCATTGTTTCAGCTGCATCAGTATTTAAGACCCTTGATCTGTGTCCTTATCTTCAAGGGCTACATTTTCTGGGGCGTGGAGGCAGTTTGTTTTCTTTATAAAAATACTTCTGGGGATCTTCCTATTTGCCTTATCAGGTTTTGGTTTTTTTTTTTTTTGCTCTTAGTGGCACTTGGGTCACATTTCAAGGAATTCTTTTTGCAGTGCAGAGGGAAGGAAATTATTTTTCACAGCGTGAAGGTTAAGTTGTTACGCAATCTCTTTTCTACAGTTACTGGGAGTTCAGACAAAGCACGGATCATGCATGACTCATGATAAAGACTGCAAGAACTGGCAAGAGAGCAATAGCACGGGCTGTTTGTACCTCAAACAATCACTTCTGTAAACAGATTTTTGGCATGTTTCTGAATCGCATGTTAAAAAGTAATACATTGCCCAAGACTAGACACTGAAAAACAATGAAGGGAATAATCCAGGGCTGAAACGAAAAGATTTGATGACCTAATATGTATATAATGCATACAGTGTGGGGTTTTTTTTCTTTAATCTTGTTTTTAAGAGTGAGGCCCAGTGTGAGGAAGGGTACACTACGCTACTAGCCCAATCACTGTATGAAGATGTAGAATGTGTTCAGCCCTGGAAGCTCTTCTGGGAAGGGATGACTTCTGAATTGTACCCAGACACCTCCGTGCCCTCTTGGCTGAGTGCTTTTTTTGGCCGATGGGTTAGCCAGCTGGGGGGGTGTTCCCCAGCTGTAAGCAGAGGTGCCTCCCTGCACCCCTCCTTGTCCCCCTGCCCAGTATACACTTCATCATCTAAACTGGAAGTTGTTCAGTGAAATCGTTTGTCTTCTTCATGACAAGGATGGAGCAGCGTCATCTGCTCCTAGCCTGGCTCTCTGGAACAGCTGGGTCATTTTTCTAAGGAAAAACAAATCAGCCTGAGACAAATACCATGCGTAGAGCTTCTCACTGTGTACGGCTGCAAAGAGACAAAGCTATAAACAAGCCAAACCCCGAGTTTTGGTGTGAACAGCACCCAACTGTTTAAAATATTGCCTCCTGCCCTTCTGAACCTAAGGCGGTGCTTTCCCAAGCCAGCCCCCACCAAGCCCCCCAGTCCTCTCCGAAGGAGGCTCCTCCAGGTTGCAAAATACCTTCATTCCCTGGCTGTGCTTTTGGTGTTTCTGATAAAATCCCTCACCCCCTTGGCAAACAGGGCGTGCAATCCTGTGTTCCCTCCGTAGGTGTGTTCTTCTCTTCTCAAGAGCTCTGGAGGACAACACGGCGTTTCACCATAGCCACCATGCGGGATCTCGGCATGGGGAAGCATCTTGGAGAAGAAAGGATGCTTGAGGAGCTTCGCTTTCTTATTGAGTTGATCAAATCCTTCAAAGGTGAGCTGGAGATAGCATCAGGTGTTTCATGCTACTTTACAAAGCCATTGTGAAGACCTCTGGGTTGCTCCAGGAACTACCAACACATGTATGATTTTGTTAATTTTTAGGTGGACCTTTCCAATTACGATTTTTGAATATGGCTCCCACCAACATCACCTTTGCTATTCTCTTTGGGAAAAGGTTTGATTATGAAGACCCAACGTTTCTTACTCTGTTGAGACTCATAGATGAAGTTATGCACCTTCTTGGGTCTCCATTCTTGCACGTAAGTTACGCTCTGTGCTGAGATGCTCCAGTATCTCATCAGAGTTGTTAGGTCAACCAAGGGACCTGTTTCTGGATGGTTTTGGAGCCTCTTTAGGTTACTGAACCACAAGATTCATAGACTCATAGAGTGGTTTGGGTTGGAAGGGACCTTTAAAGATTATCTAATTCAAACCACACTTCCAGCACAGTTGGACATGGAGTGGGCAGCGTCCAGGAGCATCAGTGGAAATTCACTGAAGTGATATAGATGTTGGCCTTTATGTTATTATTTTTAGTCACTCTATTTAGCAAACTTTATTGTTTATGGCAAATTGTAGTCTACCATGAGGAAATAGACCCTAATATAGGACTGGAATCTGGGCAACCTTCTGTCTTTGGTGTTTCACTGCAGGAAAACATTCCTGGAGTGCATCTCAAAAATGTTCATAGCACTTTTGGCAGAGTTCAGAAAGATTCTGCTTACTTGTTTTTTGATGTTTTTTGTTTGGTTGGTTTTGTAAATATTTTTCCAGCAGTACCCAGAATAAACCACAAAATGCCAGCATGTTGTGTTCCCTAGTATTTTCAGTCCAAACAAGGCTCTGGTGGAAGGGACCAGAGGTAATTGGGTCCCTCTTAGAAGGCATGGCCAGAGTTTCCTTCTTTAAAATCACCCCAGTGATAAAACTATTGAAATTATGACTTCATTTGTGGATGTTCAAAGAAAAATACCCAGGCTCATTCCAGTCATGCTCTTCTGGATGCTGTATGAACATCCCAAAAGTAACCTCTTGCCTTAGGGACAACTGCACCTGCACTGGAGGGTTGCTAGGTTTTGGTTTCTTGCTACAGTTTAAGAAACTGGTGAAGTTACAGAGTAGTGGTACAAAGTACAGAGCTGCAGACATTGTATACGGACCTCTCATACCTCCTATCATGGCATTGAATCAACACCCACTCAACAGAGCTGCATAAAGAGAGTATTCCAGCTAAGAGGGTCTCACCTGACCCCAGAGCTCTTCTTAACTTAACCCTCCATCACAAGGAATAGAGTATTAGTTACTTAAGGTAATATTGAAAGTCACCCAAAAAGCTGTTAAAAATATTTATGCTGATGAATTCATTACCTGAATGAGCACTATTTATAATAAAAAAGATGGGCAACATCCCTTTTCTTTTAATCTCTATGTCAGGTTTAATTTTTGCAGAAAACTGCAAAAATTATAACCAGTTAGCAAGAGCAAGAGATTTGTGAATCTTATTCTGCTGCCAGTTTATTTATAACATTGAGAAACGGTGTAAGTAACCCCCCTGCACATAAAAGGCAACCATTTATTGTGCTGTGAAATTTAACGATGCTGAGAACCGAGTGTAATTGATTTATAATTCATGTGAAAGTTAAAAATGATGATCTAACAACTTTAAAACATAAGTATTTTGGCTTGCTAAACATTTGGAGTTCTCTTTCCTAAAGAGCAATGCTTTATCTTTTTGCTTTATTACCTCTTTAAAAATGCAATTTCATTGTTTCATGAGTTTACTATCACTTTCTCTTAATTGTCTTTTTTTTTTTTTTCAAATTGGTGTTTATAGGCTCTGTCTAGACAAGTCTGATAGGCCCCGTTCATTTCTATATAGAATTTTTAATAAGAGGAGGCATTTTTATACACTAAAATTTTTTAGTTACCAAAAAAAAGAGACTCCAGTCATGTCATTTTGTTCCTCACATAAATTATTTCTCCATGATGATACTTGAGTTTTACAAGGTAATGGGTGAATTTATTTTTCTGTGATTTTTTTTTTCTTTTTATTTTCTTTCAGTTATTTAATTTCTACCCATTCCTTGGGTTTCTCCTCAAACCTCACAAGACAATACTGAAAAAAGTAGAAGAGGTGTGTGTGATCTTAAAGAAATGCATCAAGGAAAGCAAAGAAAGTATGAATAAAAAAAATCTGACGAGCTACATTGATGCACTGGTATCCAAACAAGAGGTATTTTAACAATATGATGATTCCTAGTGCGATATCCTATACAGAGATGCTCCGTGTCGCTTATCTAATGAACATCCTCTACTTCTACTACAGTCTATATGAAAATATTTAAATTTTGGGTAAATGTCCTCCTATTTTAGTATGTTAAATACTGCAGGAAAAGCAAGAGATAATTAACTAGACCATATTGCATGAAGGTCTAAAACTCATCCTCAGGTGTCACCAAGAGGGATGGAAGTACAGATAACCACTGCCCAGAGCAGATAAATGTCGTGTGATGTTGTAAAATCAATGAATTTGTCCAATTACTTCATTTTGGGCATAAAATCTCAAGTGTGAAAACATTTCTGCAGAAAACAGAAGCATTTCTGTACTGAAATGTCAATGGGGTGCATCTTGGCACTCATACGCATCACACTGTCATGTCTCTGAAGACTGGGTTACCTGCCCTACTTACCTCTTGCCATGCTAACAGCAGTTGGTTTTTTTCTCTTTATTTCCCTCAAGGAGGAAAATAAAAGCAATACACTTTTTCATGATGCAAACGTTTTGGCTTCTGCACTCGACCTGCTCATGGCTGGCACTGAGACCACGTCCACGACGTTGCAATGGGCCATCCTGCTGCTGATGAAGTACCCCGAGATTCAAAGTAACACACCTTTGTAGTTCTGCTTTTCTTACGGAGGGTGCAGTGACTTCCTAAGTGCTTGCTCACCTGTAAAAGCTTCTTAGCCTCTAGTGCATCCAAAATCTGAGCACCTGGAACCCGTCCACCTCTGTCCAAGCATTGTATGCTGCCGCTGAGGACCAAAGGGTCTGAGGGGTTGTTCTTTCTCTGCTCCCAGGGGCTGGGCAACCTCCTGCCTGGGGCAGACTAATGAACAGTCATGAGCTGGGATTTGGAGGCACTTTAGCACTACGGGAAACTACTTCATGCCTTTTTTTTGCCCTCCAGAAAAGGTGCATGCAGAGGTTGACCGCGTTCTTGGCCCTAGCTCCTTGCCTACCTTTGAGGACAGGAAAAACATGCCATTTACCAACGCGGTGATCCACGAGGTGCAGAGATTTGTCACCCTCCTGCCACATGTCCCACGGTGCACTGCTGTTGACACCCACTTCAAAGGCTACTACATCCCCAAGGTACTTGCTGCTCTGCAGATGAAGGCGGGTGGGGGATGCACACCAGTGACCCACAGGGCAAAATGTCACAAGGAGGGGGAGGGCTTGAAGCACAGGGCTTTTGGTGGGAAGAGCAGTTCCCTAACCCTCTGCCTCCTCTGCATCTGATGTCAGGGTGACTTCATGGTTATGCTCACAACTTCCCATTTCCCGTAACTCAGTCTTTGTACTCCAGAGTCTGTGCTTTGTTCTATTCACTCTCCATTGCCATTCATGCCCTGCAGAGCACTTCTGCCTCTGGAGCACCATGGCATTGTCTGCTTGCCTGCCTTGAGGCGAGCAGGGAACAGCTGGGCAGGAAGGAAGCCCGGTTTACATCTGTCTTCTGCTTCATAACTCAGAAACAGTCAACAACCATTGTTGTTTAATCCCATATTAGTTAGTAATTCCAGTGAGCTGGGTATCCACACGAACTAAGGGTCATATGGTCATGTACTAGCCCAGAAATTAGTTCTTCAGAGGTAGACGTTTGCTTGCAGGCAGAGCCCAAAGGGAGAAACGGTTACATGGCTGAATGGGCCAAGCCAGAAGTTGGGTACATCCACACACGCTAAAGCAGAGCCTGGTTGTGCTGCAGGGAACAACCGTGATTCCTCTGCTCACCTCCGTGCTGCTGGATAAAACGCAATGGGAGACGCCCGACGAGTTCAACCCCAACCATTTCCTTGATGCGGATGGGAACTTTGTAAAGAAGAAAGCGTTCCTGCCCTTCTCCACAGGTAACGAAAGCATGTGATCCTGCACAGGGCACCGAGTTCCTGGTGTCCCTCAGAAGATATTAGCCAACTGGCAGGATCCGAGCCTCTGTTGGGAACAGCACAGACATCAGTGGTGGGGATGGGTTGGAAATACCCTCCCTGGGTTTTGATGACTTGCAAACAGCCCCTCAGCCTGCACAGGGTCCTGGTGTTTAAAGACACCACTGGGACCCACAGAAGACTCAACACCTTTCAGCAAGAGTTCAACCTTCCCTCTGCTTGGGAAGACTGGTTTCTGGGGTGTCCTGGATCAGTTCCTTGCAGGCTCAGGGTGAAACAGCCCTGTTCAAATGCCTGCAGGAGACCAACAGTGATGGCTGATGAATATCACATGCTGTTTTGCATTTCTGAGGCCTATACTGTCCCTCATGCTATCGCTACCAAGTAGTAGGGAAGAGAGGGGTTTTTTAACCTTTTAACAAAGTTGGGCCACCACTTACCCAATCACTCCACCAACAGCCATGCTCTTGGCTTTGCAGGGCGGAGAAACTGCATCGGAGAAAGTCTTGCCACGATGGAGCTCTTCATCTTCTTCACAGGCTTGATCCAGAAATTTACTTTTAAGCCTCCACCTGGGGTCAAAGAATCTGAGCTGAACACAACTGCAGAGGCTGGATTCACCATGAGACCCCATCCACAGCGTGCTTGTGCTGTGCTACGGCAATAAGCCCAAGGCTCTGAACTGAGAAAAACCCATGTAATGGTTTTGCACAGAGCCTAGCAGATGCACAAAGGAGAAACCAGATCCCTACGCAGTAGCTACAAGAAGTGTCTCCTTACTCAGAGCCTTGCAAGTACTGTCTCTATGCTTAAAATATCTGTTGAACAAATATTTTTCTAAGAAGCAGAGCTGGGATGGTGGGTAAGGTTACCTGGAAAATTCCAGCCAGATACAGGACTGGAACAGAAGGACAGTCATGGCTTTACACATCAAATACACAATGTAAGAAAGTTATCCTAGTTGTAAGCTTCTGAGAGAGGATGTTTCTCAAGAGTGGTTTATCTCCTCACTCAGAGAACAGTATTAGATACAATTGTTGTCCAGATACCTGCACTTTCTGTGTCTGGTGGATGCTCTTCCAACACTTTTCCAGACTTCTGATTTTGAATCCCAGATACCAAACCTTGGACTTTTTAGGTTCCTCTTGCTCTGAGGGACCTCAGCATAGTTCCTTGGGAATCTTCGTCCCTTTTTGGGTACAGGCTCTGCTACACCTGCACTGATGTGGGACTTAACAACACTCCCCAGACAGGCAAAGTCATTTACCCCCTATGTTTTTACCAAGGTAGCTCAGATACGTAAGCACATCTTTTCAGAGCACGGTATTTGGACAAGCAAGCATGCAGACAAATATTGCAAAGATGTTTCTAAAATCCTCTTTCCTTAAGCAGCACAGAAGCAGATGCAGGCAAAGCAACAGCAAACCTGTCCATCCCCCTTTTCCTTACTTCTCCCAGTTTTCTGTGAGATCTGTCAGGACCCTATCATTTCCTGTCATTCCCATTTCTTCTTTTCCTCCTCTGAGATGACTAGAGATGGAGCATCATCACATCCCCTCATCAGGGAAGGCAACAGGATTCTTCTGCAGCAGCTGTCTTCTTCCTTGGTCTGAAATGCTGAGTGATGAGCTGGTAGGACTGCAAGGGGAGGTGGGCTGAGCCATTCTCCCAAAAAGTGTTCGAGCTGGTTAACCCCTGGGGGGGATCCCTGGCTGCTGTAGGATGAGGAGGAGAAGACTTCTCCTGTTCCCTGCATACCACCTGATTCTTACAGGTTAGTGGTAAATAAAAAGTGCATAAATCTCTGCTCCCAGCCTTGCAGGCAGGTGAATGTGGTTGGACTGGGGGTGCACAGAGCCTCAGAGCTTCACTCTGCCCACCTTGTACAGCCCTGGGTTGAGGCTGGCAGGCATTTTACCCCAGTAAGGACTAAAGGGCTGGGCTTTCTGAGACTCAGAGGGATCATGGTGCCATCTCCTGGCAAAAAGAATAACGAAATCATATTCTGCACGATGCTTATTACTCTGGCCAGTGTGCAAGGGGCTGCAGTTACAAGGCAGCCCTCGTTTTACAAATCTACATGGTTGCTGCCATCCTTGCAGCGGGTCATTGCCCCTCTGAGAGCAGCAGCCCCTGGTCCCAGCATCATTGCAGCACTAGGGACGGCAGGCTGGGCTATGGGACATGCTGCCCAGCCAGCTGCACGTGGCATGAACCACAGACACAGGGTGAGTTGGATTTGTTGATCTTACTTTAAAAATTAAGCCACCTGTCCTGCCCCGAGATGTTTACCTTCAGTTCAGGTCAGTGTGTTGCAAGGCACAAACATGTTTTGCAGCTAGAGGAAAGACCCTCAGGGCCACTGAGGAATGTGGAAATGGTATTTCCACCCCTGAGAGACAATGTTTTCTGCTAGATAAATCTGTAGCTGAGTCATAATCAATGTTCTGCCATCGTTTGGCTGAACAAACAAATGCGAGGCAGGCACCTTCTTTTGCAGAGATCTATTCAGCTGTCTAATTCAGTGTGCTGGAGGATGAACACGTACGCAAGTAGGATGCACTTTTCAAAGGAATCAAAGAAACCTGCTTCCCACGGATGTTTGCACCTGGTAGCCCATGGCTCTAGCTGAGGCCCAGGTATTGCGCAGTCTGCTGGATTTCTGTACCAGCCAGCACTGCCGCAGGTGCTCTGCTTGCTGGAGAGTGCCAGTGCAGAAGGCGATATCCAAAAAGAGCAGACTCGGAAGGCTGCTGTGCTGTGTAGGAAGGGATCCATCTCTCCTTCGAAGCCAAGACCCCAAGAGCCCACAACAAGGGGCCAGGTCTGAGGTTCCACCAGCGAAATCATGCAGATATGAACCCAGCCCAGCTTTGTCCCTTGAACACTAGATTGTTGCCATAGCTGTCTTTTGAGTTCATATTACTTTTGGAGGGGCTAGAGCAGTGTTGTGGTTTAACCCCAGCTGGCAATAAACACCACACAGCCGCTTGCTCACTCCCCACCCCTCCCAGTGGGATGGGAGAGAGAATCAGAGGAAAAAGGTAAGAAAACTCACGGGTTGAGATAAGAACAGTTTAATGATTTTAACAAAATACTAATACTAATGAATTGTAACAAAAAGGAAAAGAACAAAAAAAAGAGACAGAGACAAAACTCAAGAAAAACAAGTCTAGAGAAGAAGTGTAGAGAAGAAGCTGGGAGGGCAGGAGCTATACGAGAAGCTGCAAAAGTCCTTGTCGAGACAGAGACAAAACTCGAGAAAAACTAGTCTAGAGAAGAAGTGTAAAGAAGAAGCTGGGAGGGCAGGGGCTATACGAGAAGCTGCAAAAGTCCTTGTCTTAATGTAGGCATTGCTTGGCAACAACAAAAACATCAGTGTGTTATCAGCATTCTCAGCACAAATGCAAAACACAGCCTCATACTAGCTACTATGAAGAAAATTAACTCTATCCCAGCCAACACCAGCACAAGCAGGAATAGTCCTGGCCTCTCTGAAGTCAAAGGCAAAAGCCTTTTTTTATTTCAGCAAGGCCAAGACTTCCTTCATTGAGTTGATATGAGGCTTGCTTCTCAGGGGCTTTACCTGTCTGTCCCTCCCTGTTTCTCATAGGATAAGGGTATGCAGAACCTCTCACCCATGAGATATTAGTAAAACTTGCAATATTCATTGTCACTCTGGGCTCAGGATCAACCTTTCATGGCATTGGCATTTCCGTGTAATGCAAAGTTGGGTGGCAGGTGTATGAAATACAATGAACACATGGGATTAAAACTTTATTGGGTTCCCATGAAAGGAAAAACAAAAAATATGATAAAGCACATGATAAGAAAATACTTCTGGGGAAGTGGCAATTCACAGGCAGATAAATGGATGAAAAATTGCTTGAGCTATACATCAACTGGAATAAGATTGTGGAATATGATGGTGGATAAAACTGCTACAGGGAAAACAGCCAGACAAAGCTACAGAGGAAAGGAAAACAACCAAAACCAGGTCTTGTCTAACCCCTGATCCCAATTTTCCTTGCATGTGTGAGTGCAATACAAGCACTGTGAAATCAGACACCATTTGCAAGGAAATGGCATAGCTGGTTCCAATGGGCAGATCATCCCAAATACCAGAGGGACTGCTGATGTCAGCCCTTAACATTACCCAGGAGATCTAAAGGGAGGAATAGTGTTTGCTCCTATTCAACAAGGTCAGGAAAGACAGAAATCCATAAAACTAGAAATGAGTCCACTTTATTTTCTGTATCATTAGCCTTTTATGATCGCTTGCTGGTACAAATCTCACATGCTATATGCAGTGTTGAACTCAGTGGTAACAGCATTTGTTTATCTGAATGGGTTTGCAGACTTTGGGGATCTTTCAGGACATTGTTCCAAGGCAGAAATAACTTTGTCCTCAAATCACATGGATCAATCTGTTTTTTCACTCTCAAGTGTTTGACTTGGCTGCCTAGGCTTGTAGGATTCTGCTAGAAGCTATGGGTAATTAGAGAGCTTGGAAATGTTCGGGAGGTACCTACAGATGGTTCAAGTGTGTGACCCACAGTGTATTTCTGTTGGCTTCCAACAAATGGTGGTGCATCTTTCCTCAGGTCTTCAGGCAGATTTCTGTGACATTATGAACCTCACTGCTTTGCTATGGGAACCTGGGTACCACACCTACTATTCATGGGTTGCATCCTCTTCACCAGACCTCCCCCTTGGTCTCTCCATCGGCTCCATGCACAGTCTGTCTTGAGAAAAAGTGTGTGTCGTGGTTTCTAATTGATCATAGGCATCTTCTCACCGCACAGGAGCAAAGAGGGGATCAGCAACCTATGAGGCAGGTGGAGTGGGAGTAGATGGAAACAGTGGGAAGGGAATGTGAAAGAGGGTGATGTGGCAGATTGGGAGGTGGCAAGTCACAGAATAGCTAACTTGGGTCTCAGCAGCTTCCCCACTTGTTGGTTTGCTCTTCAGCAAGGCTGTGGTTATTCACGCAGGACAGCACAGGTTGCCTGAGGCTGAGGCCTTAATGTGAAAGTCGTCTGGGGGACAGTAAGGTCCAAGTCAGATTCTGAAACTCCTGGCTGGGGTTGAAAAGTAAATGTCTGCAGCAACCCTACAAAGAAGACAAACAGCTCCATCTTGGCGAGGCTTTCTCCAATGCAGTTCCTTCGCCCTGCAGAAGAAAGCAGTGGATTTACTTGATGGAAAGATCAAACTAGAATATTTGTCAAGGACACGTTAGCATCTGAGATAGAATCATAGAATGGTTTGGGTTGGAAGGTCCCTCACTACCCTCCTTGACAATGAGTCCCTCCCCATCTCTCCTGTAGCCCCCTTTCAGCACTGGAAGCTGCTCTAAGGTCTCCCCGGAGCCTTCTCTTCTCCAGGCTGAACAGCCCCAACTCTCTCAGCCTGTCCTCGTACGGGAGGTGCTCCAGCCCTCTGAACATCTTCGTGGCTCTCCTCTGGACTTCCTTTCCATGTCGTAATGGAAGCAGCAGTGAAACCTTGAAATGCACCAGAGCATTTCAGAGCAGAGGAGCCCATGTTGCTAGAGGTAGCTGTCCCAGCCATGCTGGCACGATGTGTGTGCTTGGTCTCTTTACCTCACAGCTACCTGCAGCAGCACGTCACAGCTGTGTTACAGGGTTATAATATATTTATGATGTACCCTCCCTTCTCCTTAGCTCTTCCAGCCCTCTCAGCATCTTTAAATCTTAAAAAAGCAGCCTGATAAAAAAATGCTGCCTCCTCCAAAGTGAAATGATTTGAAACTCACTTTTCCTGTGGAATTTATCCTAACACCCCACTTCTAGACTGTGTTTCTTCTTTTTTGTGATAGGTTTCCAGCCCTCGCATGATGGTCCCTGTACAGGTGAAGCACAAGGTGGACAGTGAGGACAGGCTGCCTAACATCAGAAGTTACTGCTGAGGGTCTGTTGCTGGACCACATTCTGGAATCCCTTCAACCCATCCTTTCAGAGGAACAGCTGGAAAGTGTAAGGTTGAATGGGAGGATTTGTAGGATTTTGTGGGAAATCTCCCTTTATAGTACTTACGGGTTCCTTCAGTGTTGGGATTTGCTAAAATCCCAGTGAGACCACTCCATCCAGCTGTGCCCCCTCATAATGCACGCTGCTGCAGCCATGGAGGGCGTGGGCTGGGCAGCAGGCATTTCTGAAAACCAGCAACCTTTGGAAGCAGTTACGGCTGTCAGGAAGGCAACGTGTAAGTGATATTTCTTCTTTCAGGATGTCTCAGGGGAGAGTTTTTGATATCTAACAACTGTTCCTACCATTAGCTCAGCTCAAGTCCCGGTGGGGTTGGGTTTATGAGTCTCCAGAGAAAGAATGTTAATCGTATTTTGCAGATGAAATTGAGATTAAAAAAATAAAAGCAAAAGTTTGTGACTTGACCAAAATGACAGATGGAGGTAGTGCCAGGATGCCAAGTGCCTTATCCCATAACCATGGGGCTCTGCTTCTTCCTCTAAAAAAACAGCTCTTGCTGGGAAACCTTGAGAGGTCTTTAAAGTGCCACTGGAAGAATCACCATCCAAGGTGATTTTGGGGAACAATCCAGGGCTTTGGGTTTAAGATTTCACAGTGAGAGTAACAGGGTTTGATATACTGTGTCCCACATGGGGTCTCTGCTGGCTGTAATACCCAGCCAAGGCGCAAGGCTTACTGGGGCTCTCTTCCTTGGCTCTGGTGGGCAATGGATGAGGCCTTGTCCATCAGACCCCCTTACACGTGGGGCTTGCCTCAAGACAGGACTTGAGGGTCCCTGGATTGTACCCGCACTTCCAGGGAGCTCGTGAAACCCCGCACAGAGCTGTGCTGGCAGCCCCACCAGTCCTGGCTGATTGTCCAGCTACTCCTGGCATCTCTGAGACATTTTTCACCTTCTTTTGGATGCAGTATATCTCTTTGTCTTCTCTCCTGTTGAACCTTTGGGAACAAACCCCTCCAGTGGTAGGAGAGGGGAGCTCTGAGAGCAGCCATTTTCCTGGATGCAGAATAATTGACTCCGTTCAGTTGCCTGGTTGCTTATTGACCAAGTCAAAGATAGTACTTAGCCACAAAGACCACATTAGTGTATATTGGAATAAAATGGTCCTGCCATAGCCTCAGCTCTGTGCAGATCAGCCCTTTAGTCACCTGTGGAGAAGGGCAGGAAAGCCTCTCTCTTTACAAAATTCCCTTCAGCATCAAGGAAGTGGTTGGGGTTGAACTGATGTGGTGTCTCCCATTGCGTCTTATCCAGCAGCACTGAGGTGAGCGATGGGATTACGATTATACCCTGAAAGAAAAGTATGTGAAGGCACAAAAGTCAGCAAATTGCTCTGTTTTGGTTCATTTTGTGACACAGACTTTGGTGTCCCAAGAGATTTGCTCCACCTGGGGTAGGTGGAGACCCTGAGGGTTTTATCCCATCAGCCAGTAGAGAGATGTCAGTGAGATTTTCCCAGCAGTGCCAAGAATTGAAGCCAAACCCGACATGGTGCTGTGAAAACCTCAAGCAGAGGGTCAGATCCTGTAAATTCCCTGGCAGATACTTCACTGTGCAGATGGCGCCAAGGAGGTAAACCAGGGTCACTTGTGGAGTGAGGAAGTCCTGAATGCGAGAGGGACTGAACTGAGTCCCACACCAGTCTCTCTGGACTCAACATAATCACTTGAGAGGAAGAAACTCTTCTAGGGTTGATTTTGGATGCTTACTTTGGGCTTCAGTCCTATAATTCCCTCTAAAGAAACCAGTCTTGAATGGCACTGGGAAAAATGGGGAGGGTGGCATGTTCCTGGGCTGGAGCAGTGACCTACCTTGGGAAGGAAGTAGCCCCTGAAGTGGGTGTCGACAGCAGTGCAGCGGGGAACGTGGGGCAGGAGGGTGATAAACCTCTGCACTTCATGGAGCACCGCGTTTGTAAACGGCATGTTTTTCCGATCCTCATACGTGGCCCAGCTTCCAGCTTTGACGGTTCTCCCAATCTCCTCCTGCACCTTTTCTGGAAGGAACAAACAAAGTGGATGCACCCCAGCAAGGAAGCCAGCTCCATCCTTGGATTTGGTTTTGGGAAAAACATATTTTTCCAAGGTCTGGAGGGAGAGGATTCTTAAAACACCAGCCTGGGTTTCCTCGCTCTATTTCTAATTCAGGCACATGGACTTATTTTTTTTTCCCCATCATCATACTTGGATCTCCACTCATCCTCCCTCCTAGCAAGGCAAAGGGACTATTTTATTGTGACTTTGTTCAGCCCCTAATTACATCAGGAGTACACAACAATAAAGAGATGGGATCCAGCTCTGAAGGCAAAAGAGCTTCTGCAGATCTGAAGCCTGGCCTCTCCCCTCCCCATCTCTGCCATGCCACGGAGGGACCGTAGGTGACAGGAGCTCACTTTGAATCTCGGGGTACTTCATCATCAGCAGGATGGCCCACTGGAGCGTGGTGGCTATGGTCTCTGTTCCCGCCATGACCAGGTCGAGTATGGATGCTATTAAGTTGTCATCATGGAAGACGCTGTCTTTCTTGTTTTTCTCCTTGAAAAACACAAGTGATAACAAAGGTCTTAAAACAGTCTTAGTATTCAGCAAGCTTGGGAAATAATGCAGAGCCTACAACTCTGCTGGCTGTGATCTTGTGTTCGTGAACTGGGTGATAAAATAGACCTGATCTTGAATTCAGTCTGCACCAAAGATGGGAGCACTAAAGATGGGAAGTTTGGAGTGGAGTTTGTTTCAGCATCCGTCTCCACCCAGAAGCAGGCTGAAGGCCAGGCCTGATGCTGTTCACAAACTCAGCCTCACGGGTTTGGATAAAGCCCGGTCTCTCCCCTGTACAGAAGGAGATCCAGCTAATCCCAGTGTTGAGGGGCTCCTCCTGCCCAAAGGGCAGGACTGAACCCCCAGCAATGTTCAAAATGACCTTTCAGGTTGTTTCTGCTGGGCTTTAGGGCTGCACTGACCCTTCCTCCACACAGCTGGGTAGGATACTTAGCGCCCAAACTTGGCCCAGATCCAGTTGGAAAGAAGAAAAAACGCAGAGCCTAAATATTTTGTGTTGAATGAAATCAACTGATGTGTGAAACTGCAGAGTCTCAACAAAAGTAAGATGCAGGGCAGGGCTAGGACTTGTACAGATGATTTATCATTCAAGTACGTTAAGTGTATCATTCATCTTGGAACAACAGTATCGGTGATTAATAGATTCGTTGTCATACAAAGAAAGGCAGAGTCAGCTTTCATGTAAATTCATGCATTTTCTGCTAGGAACAAGGAGCTGATCTCACATTTCCGGATGCTGCTATTTCAGGAGCAGACCGAGACAGTGGTTTCATATCTTAATTTTGATAGAAAAGTCCCTGCAGTAAATGACACCAACTGTAAGAGACTGGAGTCTGATTTCAGTACCACTGGAATAACAGCATGGATTTCAATAGGCTTGTATGACATGACTGAAATTAAGACTCAGCAACTGTTTTAGCTAGAAAATGCAAAGGAGACATTGCAGAAAACAGCAAAAATAGAAACCAGAGCCAAGCAGTCAAATACCTCTTGTTGCTTGAACATCAGTGCATCAATGTAGCTCCTCACGCTGTTCTCGTTGATATCCTCCCTGCTTGCCTTCATGTATTGCCTTAAAATGACACGCACATCTTCTATTTTCCCAAGCATAATCTTGTGGGTTTTGAAAAGAAATCCCAGGAACGGGTAGAAGTTGAAATACTAATGAGGAATTAAAAAAGAGAAGCATTAAGTCTGCAGAAGTATCAAGATGCTGAAATAGCTTCTTCCTAAGGCATGACATACCAGGTGAGTTTTGTATTGAAGGAGTAATATCTTAGCTAAAATAGCCATGGATGAGTTCTCATTTAGCTCCACAGAGATGTGCAGGATAGTTCAAAAGGAAAGTGGCAAAGGGGAATCTGGCTGCACACTTGTGGTGACCAAGGTGGTACATGAAGAACTGTCACATTTTAGGTGTAATGGCTGGTTCTGAGCGTTTGAAAACTGCTGAACTAAATCCTGTGGTTTGTGTGGCTCACAAACATAATGTACCAGTATAAAAACATCTGTGGGACAGGTTACTTACGTTCAAATACGGAGATCCCAGAAGAATCATAACTTCATCTATGAGTCTTAAGAGAGTGAGAAATGTTGGGTCCTTATAGTCAAACCTGTCCCCAAACAGCATGACGAAGGTGACGTTGATTGGAGCACAGTTGAAGGACCTCAGGCTAAAAGGCTCCCCTGCAATGGGAGGAGGATGGAAATGTTATCGAGATGCTGCAGCAGCAGTGATTCATATGAGGCTGTACAGCACCGTGACGGCCTCCAGCTCACCTTTGAAGGATTTGATCATCTCGATAAGGAAGTGAAGCTCCTCGAAAATCCTCCCTTCTATCATTTTTTTCCCCATGCCGAGGTTGCGCATGCTGGATACGGTGAATCTCCGAGTTGTTCTCCACAGCTCCCCGATAGAGAAGAACAAACCTGGGGAGGCCGTGAGACATCGCCGTGGGCTCGTGCACGGAGGAGCCCCACCACACGAAATAAAACAGGGGACTGGAAGAGGAGGGATCTCCACAAGTGTTTCTGCTGCCCAGTTTCCCATGGATCTGGGGACTGAGGGTCTCCTATTTCTGTGTGCCCCATCCCTGTATCCTCGCAGCTCACTGAGCCTGTAGTTTGGGAAAAACAAGCTCCCACCCAACCCCGTCTGCCCCAGCCCTCTCCTGAGCACAACATAAGCAGGTATGGCTTTCAGACCAGTACGGGTTGGCTGTAGAGCTGGGGAGAGATGTTGGTCTAAGTCCATCTTGCAGCCTTTCTGACCCTGTTTGTTTGCAAGCCTAAGGACTCAAGCGACAGCCTTGTATCTCTGTAGCTTTTCCTTGTCCTGTTCCAGTCATTATTTTATCTATGTCAGGTGGGATCATTCAGTCTCCTCAACCCTGGCCAGTGCTGAACTGATTTATGGAGATTCCCAGCAACACCGTATTTTCAGCAGTGGCAAAAATACCATGGTTTTGTAGAGGCCACTGAGCTCATGCTTTGATGGTCGCTACTGCCACCAAGCAGGGATGGGTATTTCACCCCATCAGAGTGTTGGAAATAGTGAAAGAAAAAATTGTGTCAATGATCCAAAGGCTATCTCAGATTGTGGCAATTGAAAAGCTGGTTCCAGCACTTCACTTCTTCATATTGGCTGCAAGGTCTTTAAATGTGTTTGCTTTTTCTAGAGCAGTGTGGTTTTAATTTGGAAAACAAAACTGCTTGCTCTAAAAATGTCAAAGCAAATTTCTAAACTTCATTTTAATTTTTTCTTTAATTCATGCAATATCATCTGGATCATTCCTTTTCTGCAAACAGCTTCGGAGTCAAAAATTGGCATTTTCTGAAGAAAAAATGTTGCATGGGAAAATTTGTGACCATTGTTACGGAAGAGCCACTATGAATTTACAGCTTTGGGTCACCTCTAAGTGGCTCAGACTTGGGCTGAGAAGGTAAGTGTGAAAGGACTTATTATTCAACACTGACAGTCCCCCATGGGGACATTTTACATGTAAATTAGGTCTGAAAAATGCTTTTCTCCCCATCGATTCCTTTTCTTTATGTAGCGATAAATTTCTCTATTGATATTATGGCTGGGTAATTTAATTTCTAATTGTAATCCCAACTTCAGCCTGTGACCAGCATATAAAGCTGCCTTTTGGATGCTCAAAGCTAAAGACTCGGCTGAAGCAGAGGATAGAGAAACAAGACAAAAACTCCTCTGAAATACTCAGGGATGGAGAGTTGCCTTGGAACAACTACGCAGGTGTTTGTGAGGCTGAATTTCCAGCCTTGGTTTATTGCTTCTGCCTGGATTTGCTTCATGCTGGTCCACCCAAGAACCTTTGTGGGGGAGGCAAGGCGCAGAGGACTGATGATGTCCAAAATTGTGGCACCTGGCAGTGGGGAAAGGGGAAAACCCTACAGCTCCAAACAGCCAAACCAGTTAGTCCAAAGTCCCCTGAAACTGTGGGGAAGGTTTTTAAAGGTGGTGGTGGTGGCAAGATGCTCTAATTGACATCTTACGTAAATTAACCCCAGAATTACCACGGTGCCTTTAAAAATCCCACTCCTCACCCTCGAACATGCAGGACATGGATCAGCCGCAAGTGCATTAGCAAAAATTATGAAAAGCCAGGAGGCATTGCATGCAAGTGATGAAAGAGAAATCTTTTCTGTTGGCTTGGCTTCAGAAGGGTCCGAGGGGGATGTTTAAAAGCTGGGCTCTGGGGATGCACAGTTAGGCTGGCACTAAGCGATGGTGTCGTCCCTCCCGCCCGACCCCGCTCATTGCCCTAGTACCGTTTCCGTTCTGAATTTGGTCAAATATTGGGATGGATGGTCTGTCTACAAACTCCTCTGTGTAGTTCACAAGCGCCTCCCGCACAACTTCGTACCCGGTCAGGACCACAACTTTCTGGAACCCAAAGTGGAGGGTGAAGATGGGGCCGTATTTTTCCGCGAGCTGAAAAAGAGGGGAGCTGTGATGGTCAGGAAGGGAGGGAGCATGCACGGGGCAAGTGCCCGTTGCTTTCTGAAAGAAAGTATTACATCCTAGTGCCCTGCTGGGAACAGCTGCGAAGCTGCTCCCTGCAGAACAGCATCTGTGAGCTGGAGCCCATCGCGGTCAGACATGAGGCATTTCGTACAGACGCCTGGCTGGCATCTGTGTGGATTTTCGGCTTCTTGCCACGAAAGAATGCCCACCCCCATCAGTGCATTACTGATCTGGTTTTGCTCTTAAGGAGAAAGCAAATGAAAAACAAAAAACCCACCTAGAGTTAAACACCGGACCTCAAATGGCAACACAAGTTGGCAAACCAGAGAAAGATAAAAACAGAGAAGACATTTCAGTGTGAGTAATGATGCTGTCACACAGGAAAGCTTTGGTACGATGCTCCTCTCATACCAAAGCATT